AAGGATCTGTATAAGCGGATATTGCTAATTGAGGGGATATAATTTTCTCCACGATTACACAATTCATGGCACGTTTGTGAAGCTAAAGTTTCCGGTTTTGTTTCTTGTCGAAAAATCTACATTTAAACAATTTTCCAAACATTTATATCTATCGTAGCTCTGATAATATATATTAAATCTAATTTCTCATAAGGACTTTGACACAAGTAAGCTTTTGCGAAAAAGTATTTCCACCCATCTCCTAACTATACAATAGATCGGCTGCTAACGTTTTAAAAATGATTCAACCCGAAACAAAACGGCTGAACGAAAATTCTGTTCTACTGTTATAGGGTAATATTGATAAAAATATAATTATACTATAACTAACCACAATACTAAACTTATTAGAGAAAATCAAATTCCACAATCACTATATCCATGAATTCATCTCAAAATATAACTCGAACCATCGGGCGCTAAGTAAAGTTTGATACGATACGAATTTGCTCGAGTTGCCGCAGAGCATATCGCAGCCATAAACAAATATCGTCTGCCATAATACGTGGTAGTGAATGGCGTCAGCTGTAAAACTTTCCTGCCACGTGATTTATACATCTCAAAATGTGGGAAATGCCTTACCACCGGCTATGTATACAGCGGATGCCAGTGCGAGGCTGTCTGTAAGTACTGCAAAGCACCGGCCCACATGCTAAATGAATGTCAACAATGAAAGCATCACTATCCAGTACTCACCAACCTTGTAACCGGATGGAACATGCCTCCACATAGAAGAAAAACCCTGCGAAAAGACTCCCAACAACAGAACCAGAATGAAGTGCAACCTGATGAAACAACAGAGTCGAGCCAAAATGACGCACAGCCTGCTGAATACACCGACAAGGTAGGTGATTTTTCAACCTCTAAAGCTAAATTGCCTAATAGAAATTAGAAACTGGTTGGAGAATGACGTCATCGGAAACACCGCGCTCATTAAAATTTCAATGAACGATTATCAAAAATTTTGGCCATGTTTATCATGATATAAATATCAAAAAATATGTAAAAAATATTCTATCCTCAAAACTGCACACGTATACAATGGAAGATATCTAGAAAATTAAAAAAAAATGCAAATTTGTGCTCTGGTGATCACATTCCCCATAAGAGCTGTTGTTAAAATAGTTTTGTTCACATCACTTTTCTTTTTGCGCGTAAGATGGGTTTTTAATGACTAAGGTCTATTACCAGCTTTACTACGAACCATCAGAGCGTGGCGGCTGCTGCCAGACATTATTTTTACCATACTTTGGAGGGACGCGCCGGTTTTGTATTTCATTCGCAAGTTTGAGCTGTTGCTTCGTTAAGTGCCAATGTTGCACCGGGAGTGTACTAGATTAGGTACAGTTTCGTAAGAAACTACACGAGACCCCACTTTTGAAGTAGCTCCGTCTGATTTATGTGGAAGTATAGGCCTACTGTGTAACGAAGCAGCTCAAATGCATAACAGATATACAAGCTAGCATGTATTCAATCCATAAGTGTGAAAAAGACTGTTGAAAAACGCTAACACACAGCGAGCTATTTAAACAAGTCAAGGTAAGTATAAAACTGACGCACCGTTCTCCGCAACGAGCGTCCCCTCAAAGAGCACAAAAACATAGTTGGCAGCATCGGTAAAAGGTCATAAAAGTTCGTAAAGAACTGCCAAATGTTTGGAAAAATCTGAAATACAGCAATATATTTTCAACGCTCAATGGGTGTCTATTTCGCTTAAAGTTGGGAATGTTAAAGATGAAATCGCTGATTACCTAAACCAAGTTGAAATAAGAGATCAATACTTGATAAATATAAAGATTCGCGCATTGTTCAGGCAGTCAGTAGTTTGTTTTTTCACCTATTGAAATTGGTATTGATACGGACAAGCGTGGTTGGGGCGGTAAAGCAGGACGAAATGAAGTCTGTTCACTTATGAATTTTTATAGCGATATCAATAAAATTATAAATAATGACAACGATAATTCAGCAAAACGAATCATATATACAATTCCTTTCCAATAAGGTTATCAAAAATATTTGTATGTTAATAGGAATTACATAAGTTTCATTTTAATAAAAAACTTGTACATCTCGTCTTCCAATTGATATCAAACAACTAAGTAGCGCGTAGCGTCATGTCAAAAACCGATTTCTAATTGTAAAATCGTTATAGTATGTATTGATGCACAAAGATTTATTCTGTATTTTGAGTGAAATCTAAGTCTTAGCATACAGGCTACGTATTTTTTATTTACTATTGTTGAACACATAGTAATCGTAACAATAAAATAATAGTTTTTGGTCACCGTACACACCCCGTGAGCTGCGCACTTAATTGTTTACTGCCAGTGCACAAGAAGGAGTGAGCTTGGTAATGCTCTAAGAAAATATCCCAATTAAACAAAATAAATGAAAACAAAAGTACTGTGTTGTTTTCGGATTCTCTACAACAAACACCCATTTTAAAATTTCATGGCAATCTAAGTTTTGTATGTGTTCATTAAAGTTCTTGTTATTTATGGCATAATCTATTGACTACTATAAAAATCCTAATTAAACAAGAGAATGTATCACTAAGTAACATTATCAACAATATCAAATTACCCAAGGTTGTGAATACTTCTCCAACTTTTTGTCTTGGCATTTTGGGTAGCAGACCAGAGCCAGCAAAGCACAAGTCAGCACAAGTCAGCAATGTGCGTGCGTTCAAATTTCGATTTTTGTGAGTGTTTACTAAAAATACTTTTCACAATAGACTGATAAGGCGAATATTGCGTGAAAATACAGTTATTACCTGGATAACTACCACAAGTGCCCTGACACCCTCAGATGTTGTTGCCATTAAAGCTGATGTACAGCTGTCACTGTCAATTCCTAAAAACGTAAAATTATTTTCTTTTTTAACTTGAGTAGTATTAGGCGATATATACCGGTAGATTAAATTATTCCTTTGATAGTTATGACATTTTAAAAGTTATAGCGTTATATTTAATTGGGTATATGTATTTCTTAAAAAAGAGTAATTTCTAGGGATTTTTAAAAGCATCAATGTAACATTTGGCTTGCATTCTGGGAAAAATTATATGGAAGACGGCTGTCGGAAAACTTAGGTATAGCGTCACGATAGCTTTAAGATATTTTTATGACTAAGAAATTCAAACCCAAACTTAATGTTTTTCTTATGTTTACATTTAGCACAGACTTAATGAACGACAGCAATATGCAAACACGATTCATTTAAAATCCGAAATATTGAAGTTGAAAAGTTTGCTAACGCTTTCGGCTAACAATTATTTTGAACGAGCAGTTTCACTTCAGTACAACACCTTATATTTATTATAATTTTTCAAAATGTTTCTAATTATGATGAAAAACAAATTATAAAATCATATACCAGTTTTTTGAGATCGTCTTATGTCTATCGTTTCCCAAAAATGACGTCAAAGTCTGGAGCCTCGTAAGTTAATATGCTAAATCCATCGTCAATGAAAGGAGGGACGGAGTTGTCTGGGTCGGGTACAACTCTCAGTTTCTGTACAATTCCGGTCAGAAATTAAACACTTCCATCCTTGCCAGCTGTTACCCCGGGCAGTGTCGAGGTCCAACGGAGAATGGTATCACGTGGTTTGATTTAAGGAATTTTCCGTCACGGTCGAGAAATCTCTCAGATCGAAATTCTCTCGGATTTTTTAAAAGATTTTGTAAATATCAGATGTTTGGACATACCCAAAGTAAATAAAATGTTCTTACGACATAACACTGAATACAAAACGAGGGAGCCTATTCATATTAGTACTCGCATTTCTTCCTGTATGAGCGGGGAGAAATTCAAACTAACCGCTAGAATGCGATTCAAACTTGTTACATGATATTTAATAATTTCCTGGTTTATATCGACGATAGGTTTAAATATTGAATTACATGCTAACACAACCCTTTTGATTTACTAAATCCACAATTTCGCAACTAACATTATGTTAAATGGCTAAATCAGCATATATTGCGGCTAACGCGAAAATAGTTTTTAAACGTTTATTCAGAACACAATTGAGATAATGAACAAGGCATTTTAAATATGCCCGCATCGGTCATGGATTGCGCAATTGTATATTGTACTCATTGAGATTTTAACGCCACCTTGGTATTTTTGCGGGGCCATATCTTGCTTCAAAATATTCTTGAGTGCTGAAAGAACAACTCAAATTTGACAAATCCCAAGATTACAAAATACGATTCCAATCCATTTATAGTTGGCAGTTTAGCCCTTATTTTAGAATAGTAATCTTTCATTTCAATAATCGTATCTGAGAAACGATGTAAACTATTAAATTATTATGCAAGACATTTTAAATGCTCTCGTCCGCCATGAATTGAATGTTTTACGCAACAGAAAAGTCGTTATGCACTGTCAAAGTTTTAACGAATGATCTATATGCAAAGGATGTTGCAGGTAAACTTCCGATTTTGAACCCTCCTCCTTTTTAAAAATCATGGCTGTGCTACTGCTTATAGATAATGTCATATTTTAATTTCTGCCTTGTTGCCATATTTCGACGCTACTATTGTCAAATGTTATGATGATATTTCTCAATGATGGTCTTGCTTCTTTGGACAGTTACAAAATTCTCCAAGTCATTAATTTGATGAGTAATCGAATAGCTCGCGGAGTTCCTAGGTTTCTCTCACGGAGCCCTGGAGTTCTGTATGGAGCACTTTGAGAACTTACGCCTAATCCTATATCATATATGTATATTTTGTCTTTGTGCGCTATTTAATCAAAATTGATTTGTTTATTTAAACGTCTCCAAGTTAGCGATGTAAGAAATATTGATTAACGATAAATTAATTTATTAATAGAAAAACAAATTATCGACTCGTATAAATATAATATACTATGAATAAAGCCTTGTTAGAGATGAGGAAACACGGGCTAAAATAGGCTCCATATGTACAAGAAAATAATAATTCAAAATAACAAGTTGCTATATTAAAAATTTAACGTCTCTCAAAAATCACATCAAAGTCTCGAGCCTCGTATGCTAGAATATTAAATCTACCGACGTCGAAAGGAGGGACAGGTTTGCATTGGTCAGGTACAACTTTCAGTTTTCGTACAATTCCTGTTAGGAAGATGAACATCTCCATTATGGCCAGCTGTTCGCCCAGGCAATGTCGAGGTCCAATGCAGAACGGTATCACGTGATTTGATTTGATGAATTTGCCGTCGTTGTCGAGAAATCGCTCAGGTCGAAATTCTCTCGGATTTTCAAAATATTTTGGATCAAAGTGAACCGACCATATATTTGGGAAGACCTGAAAGCAAAATATAGATTTGGAATTTAAATACAAATGCAGTTTGGAAATGTTTGGTAAGTTTTTTCATGGTAAAATTCTTTCTTTTAAATTCCTATTATGGATGTGTTTGTGAATTTATCACATCACTAATGGGCCATTTAATTTCAATTGTTGGGTAAACTGACCGTGGCGTTTTTCTGGATAGTATATCCGTTTAGTGTCGCTTCTTCAATCGTCTTGTGAAATACACTCAAAGGCAACAATGTCCTATGTCTCATTAGTTCTTGTATGAAAGCGCAAGTATAAGGCATTTCATCTCGATGTTTCATAGTGGGTACTCCGTCTTCACCTGCTCAATTAAATATATATTTGGAGTTTTCGAAGTTAAAATTCAACGATAAAGAAGTTGTAGCATATTATAAATCCATTCATTATATTATATTTAATATTCATTTTGTGTTTCCGTATTTTTCGTTTGTCCTTTCTGGCTGGTACAAATAAACTATCACTTTAATTTTTTAAGACTTTTTCTTCATTTTTCGTTTCTATTTTAAATAATTCTTAAATACAGTTAAAAAGTGAAACAATTTACAAAATTAGGTTTGTATTTGAGTTTAGCCAGTAGTTGGCATTTTTCATTAGTGATTGGGCGATTATGCTATACGATTTTCACACGACGCTGTCGACGATAACATAAGTGAACCCTTCCAATCACGTGAATTCACTGTAAACTGTACAATGTTAATAGGAAGATATTGTGTTTAGCCTCAGTTACAGTTCCGCACCAACAGTTCTCTCAATTTCCTCTGCAATTTTATCTTGGCATTCAGTGTAATGTGCAAAGCAAAGTATTGCCCAATATAACGAATTGGTTGTAGTTCCCGTCCCAGCTTCGAATAAATCTCGAATCAGCTGTATGATCTGCTGTTTTTGAATTAAAAACAAGATAGACATAAAGCAAAGGTACTAATACAAGAGAATAAGGATTATGTGTTTTGAACTGTATTTAGGTGCTTTATCTTGGTTTATTTTCTAATTCATATTCCTATTTTGCAAAACTTGGCAAGGACTCAACGTGAATGAACGAAACTAAAAAAAAAGTTCTAATTTGAATGCAAACAAACAACAGAACAAGCTTAAAAACAATATATGGACAATATACAAATGAACAAACCCAGAATGGATTCGTACCATTTCAAAAAATTTTTAAGTTTATTTTAATAAATTGACTTGTAAGTAATAAAGCGGACATATATATGTATAGAAACTATTTTGATCTTTTTAAATCTATTTAATGACGAGAACGTGAAGATCCTTTCTAAATTAAACTCACATTAAGTGCAAGATCATTCGGCCTATTAGATATCCTTTCTCCAACATAATCATCACTGACATTTCTGATATCGTTGTTATTGAAATTTAATGCTTTTTCGTCAATAATGTCACGTATATATTCTAAAAGATAGCATGAAAAAAATGCTCGAACATATGGACATGAAAGTCTAATGACTAACCACACTACCGGTTCACTGAAGTCAGGTATCTAAAGATTTGAAAACTTTAAATTCAAATTGAAACTCAAATCCCAGCATATTGGTACCAGTACGTACCGGTACGGTAAGTACTTATGTCATCAAGCGAGCTTTGCTGAAAAGATTCGCGCACGAGAGTGAAAAAGCGGAGGCGGCATAGCTCAGGCAAGTTGGAATAAAGTACTCACTTTTAATTATAATGAAACAGCCAAATTTTGGGGGAATTATCGGGCCTTCTTGGTAAATTTGGCGTGGTCCAATGGCTCAGCGATTAAGCTTTAGAATTAACTGTGTTAAGATCGCCGATCACACACCTCGGATTCAAGTCCAATCCCAAGATTGCCAGGAAAGGCAAATTTATGTAAATACGATGAAGAAAACCGCTTTGAGCGATAAGGAACATTTCGTTTCATTTAACAAGGCTTGTACAAATGAAAACAATTGCCATACATTTAAAACGAAAAAATCAATACTGTGTGAATGGGTGAATAAAAATCTTGCGTGGAATTATTCACTTCACCAGAGTAGGATGAGTTTCTGTTCCATCATCACTGCTTTTAAAGAGCCTTGATCGAAAATATAGAAGTGAAATAACGTCGTATAAACTTTAACAAAATCCTACCAGAAAATTCGACGGTATCATCCCAAGCACGTTTTATAGATCCGCTGAATGGAGGAATGAATCGGAGAAACGGAGCAATCGCTACCAGGCCGCAGAGTTTTGAATCTGTAGTGACTGCAAAACTGAAAATATATACGGTATCTTTATAATTAGTTTTATTCCGTAACTTCCCCTGGTTTTCTACATTATATAATCGGCTAGTATCTTGTATTCTTCCATATTCCATTCGTTAAGTCGTCAGCAATATGTTTATCACTGAACTTTAATCACAAAATTGAATCGGTATTTATTAAATTTTAATTTATTCAATTTTAAATTTTGTCCAGTATTTTTATTTTGACTGGTAACTTTTTTTCTAATTTTCATTTTTTACACGTCGGAACGAACCCAATTTCTAGTAAGTGCAAATAATAACAGTGCCTCGGCGTCATTAGGAATATTTGCAAATTATTTTATTCATAAAAATCATATTCAATGTGTCATTCTAAATATTTTAAACACCAATAGGGTTAAGTCATATTTCAAAAATGCATGAAAATGAATATTTATTGAATTAACCTCGCTTCCAAATAGGTTAATGGTTGCGTTAATGAAAGAGGATGGAATTTAAAGAATCCATAAAATGGAAATAAATTCAGATTATTCAACAAGAGAGCAAGGCCCAAATTCATGAAAACGAACTTTCCATTTCTGTACCGTAACGTTTTGAGAGCACCAAATTTGATGAAATGCTCTGTAGACAACCCACACGTAATAAAAGTAGTTCTTTTCCGATTGAAATAAAACAACAAAATTTGTCAATAATCGAGTAACGTATGACTCATTGGAGATAAGAAAGTAAAAGGAATAGGTTCTAATCTCTTTCATCCTAAATTTTTCGAAAATTTAAAACCGATCAGTTTATTTTTTTCTAACAACATCTACTGCCAGAATTAGGCAAAACAATCATTTGTTGTTCAATAAGTCGAATCATTATGCAATGAATACTGTAAAAAACTTACAAATCGTGTAAGAGCTCAGTCATTCGCATAATTCTCTTGTCATTATCATCAAATCTTGTCCCCAGAACCAATCTACAAATGATATTCGAGGTTGCCGATGTTAGTTTCAACTGTATAATATATAAAAGTTGTAAGCAGATGTTTTTCCCAGAAAATATTGGAAAAATTCAAAAAAATATACATAATGAGAATACTTATTTCAATGAGAATGGGCCGATCGTAGTAGTTTTTTATTCAATTTCTCTATTCCAACGTCGTTAATTGATTGGCAATTCTGATTATTATCATCAAGAATAATAGAGTTGTTAAAAAAGTTTATGGAAACATTTGTAAGTATTAAAATTTAATTTTCTAAAATACTTCGGGCGACCCAAACAAGTCAAACACTTAAATCCTATAATCCGCCGTATCCGCCACTAAAAACGTCTTATACATACAAGCAAACTGCGCCTGTCTTCTTTCCTCGTTAGACTTTTAATCAAAAAGAAAGTTTCTTCCCTTACATTTCTTTCCATCTCTTTTTTACCAACGCCGAATCTATGAACAGAAAAAACAGTGGAATTTAGAAATTGAATGGCCTTGAAAATTTTGTGTTCCAAGAATTGTCTTTGGTTACACCAAGTTAACACGTTTTGCTTGGGTTACGTCACGATACATTGCTAAGATAAGTTACATAATTTTAATGTAATCTTGTGACAAGCAAAAATTTTTACACAATATGAAAAAGTGATCATAAATCTTAGGACAGCACGTTAAAATTATTTGTCAGAGTTAATTCAGATTGATTTGATGATTTCAAGTTCAAAAGTGATAAATCATAGTTTGCCACTATCTTAAAATTTTTTCTTTTTCCACATAGGCGTATAGGGACTCACAGTTAAAAGAAACATTAATTTAGGCAAGCAGCTGATTATGAAATGTATATATATACATTATGTTAAATACAAAATAAGAATTACCCATTCAGTGCTCTCGATCCAAACCTTCTTGAAGATTTCCATAACTGACCATAGTCGATAAATACGATACCGCAGCCTTGTGTAATCAAATCAAACAAAAAGTTGTTCGGACGACCGGAAAACTTTTTGCCTTGCTTTACCAATGCCTTAAAAGGATAAATTTGTCACGAGGGCCGCATAATTAATGTTTATTCCATCATTAGCAGAATGGGAACTCAGGTGTTCACTCATAAAATATAAATGGGTAACGTGAATATAATAAAAATATCAGAATTGAAAAATATATATTTAATGAGTTTGTTCCCATATAGAGGCACGAGGTAGTTACATTAAGGAAACAATGTTCACAATGTTAATATAGCAAATTTCGATGTAACACGGGATTTCCCGGGGCCATCGCACTCTATACTTTTCATTACTAAATAACTTTTGTATGGTTTAGCTCTTTGAATTACAAGATCTCCCATGTTCGAATGTGGGTTTTGCATGTCTGCAAGGTGAATGAAGCTATATTGATTTTGATATGATAAAAAAAAATTAACTTAATAGAATTATGACATAATAATGTTACAAATTCTCACCTCATAAATAGCATCGTAATCATTTAGAATCACACAATCCCAGAGGCCAATTTGCACAGACATAACGGAGCCATATTTTGTTTTCATTTTCATGAAATCCTCCGCCATATTGTTGTTCAAAAACGGGGCGTAACCAACTAAAGGAAGCCCGTGTGGACCTGGCGGAAAGTTTTTCGGTCTCTTGAATATGTACCAGCATAAAGCAAAAGCAAATAATGCAAAAATAACCGTTGTATAATCGAAGAAAGTTATCCAAACCATGATTTATCTAAAAGTAAAAATTAAATGAATGGAACTATAAAATTACAGAAAGTTTATCTAATGTGGATGATTGCACAATGTGAATCTAAACTCTTCAATCTTTGTTTTTGTTGAATATTCAATAGGCGCCAGTGTTAATTAAATAGGCAGACAAAATTTCAAAAAAAGGTTCAAGGAAAATATTACCTTTCTTGTTGCATAATTATAATCTACCAAAAGAGGAAAAAAAGTGATCAATCTATTTTAGCCTAATTCTTTGATGTCTAACTTTTGCTTTAATACATGCGAGTATATCGGATTTTAAACATACTCATAGTTTGCAAAAAAATGCATTTTCGAATTCCATATTAAACTAATTATTTGACAGTAATTTTCCTGAATGAAAAAAAAACTTATTTTTTTAATTTATTCGAAAAATAGCCGTGGGCTTTCATAATATTGAAAATGCCGAGAGATCGTAAACTTGTGAGATATGCTTTAAACCTTCGACGGCTTCTGAAGACTATGTGAAGATATTTTGTTGGTTCTCGTGCTGAGATGTTAATTTGGTAAAATTAATTTAAAACAAACAGCCGTACAGTATTTTTTACATTCCATGTTACACATCAGAATTCTACTTTAAATACACCCGTAATTTTCGAACCCTGAAACAACAATATTGGTCTAAGGTTTGCACTTTGTTTTAATCTGCCTCCAATCAATTTTGATATATTTTTCAATTATTTCTAAATATACAGAGAATATTAGACAAATTTGATTCCATCTATGCTTCGATTTGGAGTCATTTATCGATCCCATCTTACATGAAACGCCAATACTGTCCTCAACTTTTAACCTGTTTAAATAAATCTCTTTTGAATTCTTTCTAGGTGATACACTGCGTAATTAAGATTATTTTTGCCTTACGGTGGTTACAATTGTATATCTAATTTATTTCAAGAACCATCCCATATTGTGCTACAGTAGGAAGAAGTATTTTTTCAAGGACTAATGTCTAAAATCGCGAAAAGGCCAACGTGAATGACAAATCTATGATTTACAGCAAATATATGTGATTTTTAATATGGGACGTGGTACTATCCTATCCATCAACCGATGATGTATGTATTTTTACAAGAACCGCTGACTATAATCGTGAAAAGCCAATGTCAATAAAAAATATATACTCTGATTGTACGTTACATAAGTAGATCGTAATAATTTAATACGGGGACGTGGAACTCCTCGAATCAATAAATTTAATATGAATGTATTTTTGCAAAAAAACGATGCCTGTATTCGTGAAAGGCCAATGCCAATAAAAAAGATATATTTTTATTATAAGTTACATAAGTAAATCGTGCCTATATTTAAAATTGTAATGCGAATCTGTGCGTTTTGCATACTGATGGTAATACTTCCTTTCATTCTAATAAATCTTATAAAAGTTGGACAAAATTGAATGCAATGCTTAAAGGTTGAAACCTTAAACCTGAATTGCCCTCACATGCGGGGAAATTTCCAATCAATACCCGACATTGAAAATTGCATAAGTGTGAGATAAGCAATTCATAATATTTAATCACAATATTAATCTTTAATCTTTACAAATCTGTGCGTTTTGCATACTGATAGTAATACTTCATTTCATTCTAATAAATCCTATAAAAGTTGGACATAATTGAATGCATATGCTTAAAGGTTGAAACCTTAAACCTGAATTGCTCTCACATGCGGGGAAATTTTCAATCAATACCCGACATTGAAAATTGCGTAAGTGTGAGATAAGCAATTCATAATATTTAATCACAATATTAATCTTTACGATTGTGCGTATGTTCAAATTTTGATTTTTAAGAGTGTTTCCTGAAATTACTTTGCATAATAGACTGACAGGGAGAATATTGCGTGAAAATACAGTTATTACCTCGATAATTACCACAAGTGCACTGACACCCTCAGACGTTGATGCCGTCAAAGTTGATGTACAGCTGTCAGTGTCATTTCTAAGATGTAAAATTATTTTCTTCTTTAACTTGAGTAGTATTAGACGATTTATAGATTAAATTATTCTTTTGATAGTTATGAAATTTTGAAAGTTACAGTGTTAAATTTAATTGGGTATATGTATTTCCTGAAAAATAGAAATTTCTGTGGACTTTCAAAAGTATTAATGTAACATTTGGCTTTCATTCAGCAAAAATTACATAGAAGGAGGCTGTCGGAAAATTTGAACTATACCTAATGATTTGGTAGTTATATCGTTTTGATAGCTTTAAGATATTTTCATCATACAGAAATTCAAACCAAATCTTAATGTATTCCTTTGTTTGCATTTAGCATTAAATTAATGGACGACAGCAATATGAAATTTCAATTTATTGAAGATCCGAACTTTTGAAGTTGAAAAGTTTGCTAACGCTTTCGGCTAACAATTTTTTCGAACGAGCAGTTTCTCATATTGATCATGTTCGTTACTCGAGTTGGGATTAGACATGTGATTCTGTTTGGGACTGCAGTTTTATGTCGTCATATAAATTACACTCCAGAACATACATATTATTACATTAATATTATATTATTACATTTTATTATAATAATTATACATATTTATTAAAATTTTACAAGGATTTTCCAATTATGATGGAAAAAATTATAAAATAATATGGAAGTTTGTTGAGATTTCCTCAAACTAATTAACGTTTCTCAAAAATCACGTCAAAGTCTGGCGCCTCGTAAGTTAAGATGTTAAATCCACCGACGTCAAAGGGAGGGACGGGTTTGTCTGGGTTAGGTACAACTCTCAGCTTCTGTACAATTCCGGTCAGAAAGATAAACACTTCCATCCTGGCAAGCTGTTCCCCCAGGCAGTGTCGAGGTCCAACGGAGAAAGGGATCACGTGATTCGATTTAACGAATTTTCCGTCACGGTCGAGAAATCTCTCAGGTTGAAATTCTCTCGGATTTTCAAAAAGATTTGGATCAAAGTGAACAGACCAGATGTTCGGGCAGACCTAGAGTAAATAAAATATTTATACTTTATAACACTGGATACTAAACGAACGAGCCTATTCATATTAGTGGTCGTATATTTTCCTGTATGAGCGGTACAAAACTAACGGATAGAATACGATTCTAACTTGTTACATAATATTTAATAACTTCCTGGTTAATATCGACATGGGATTTAAATATTGTACTACGTGTCAACCTAACACTTTTGATTCACTACCTTCCATTTGCAATGACATTTGGTCAAAATGATAAATGAATATAGCAGCTAGCGCGTGAATAGATTTTAAACGACGCTTATTCGCTCGTTTTCTTCTTTAGAACCAACCACTGTCATGGCATGAAATTGTAAGGGTGTACTCTTCCCGGTTTTTCATTCCCTACCCAATTTATTACAAGTTCCACTTTAACTGAAAGAGTTAGTAGCGTTGTTTTGAGCAAACATCGATAAAAATTCTGTAACACTTACCGTGGTATTTTTAGGAATAGTGTATCCATTCAGTGTCGCTTCCTCGTTTGTTTTGTGGAATACACTTAGTGGTAGTAGGGTTCTATGTCTCATTAGTTCTTGTATGAAAGCACAAGTGTATGGCATTTCATCTCGATGTTTCATTGTAGGTATTCCATCTTCACCTGTTAAATTGAAGGTGAAGTTACCTTATGCTTATATATATATATAGAGAGAAAGACCACTTGTAGATAAAAAGCTATAATATTATTTGATAATGTAATTAGCTTCTATATTTCGAAAATATCAGAATATTTGCGGTTAGGCATTGCATACACTAATTAATTAAACCCTTGGAGAAGAGATGGAAATGGGATTTGAAATCTACGTTTTAACCATTATATAATAATTTAAAACGGGCCATTCATAGCGCAACTGTGCTTCAAATATTGTAGGTATACCGTATACTAAAATGATAATTTTTACTGAACTATATTGTGTTACATTTGGTAGTATCTTTTACCTAAGGTTTTCTCAATTTCTCTCGCAATTTTTTCTTGACATTCTGGGTAATGTGCGAAGCACAGAATCGCCCAACATAAAGTACTGCTTGTTGTTCCGGTTCCAGCTTCAAATAAATCTCTGATGTATTGAATGAGTTGAAGTTTCTAAATATAAACAAGTAGTAAATTATAAACAGTTTTTGACAAGGAAATCTAATGTAGGATGAAGTGTTCAACATGATTAGCTCTCGTTGGTGGAAACAAGCATCTTACTCATTTTAAATTATCAAGGACACAATTCACAATTAGAATAATTTGAAAATTTACAACTTAACGTATTATATTATAAACAAAAAACAGACAAGCTCTGTCATTTGAGTGTTTGTTTTAAGAAAAGTGGAGTACCGTACATGACGTTATTAAGAGGTTTGTAAAGGATGGTTATAAATTGACCGACATTCCATATAAAGATACAAATTATATGTGTAGGTCCTATATAATTACGGTTTAATATATTTGCTATTGACCTATAAAGTTGCTGGATTGTTGGCGCGTGGAAGTACTCGTGCTATTTACTTTGTATACTTCTTATAAGACTAATTATTCTCCGTCATTGTTGTTTAAAGCTTGAGCTGTCAAGTAGCATTTGCACAAAGCACGAGGAAAGTAAATTCTAATAAAAAGGGTTTGTCGAACAACACACAGCCAACGACATTGTTTTACGGTTGTATTGGTATGGAGTTCGGTAATATTCCCTTTTGTAGCTATTCATAGGTTTTAACGCGCGAAACCTTTTTTGATTTTTTATAGCAAGATCAGAAACAACAGTTTTAACGATAAACGTCACGGGAATATATACAAAACTGTGCATTGTCAAAACCTAATGACACTATCAAGTTGTCAACCGCTATTTACTGCCATTTTTGTTTTGCGCAATACCTAATATATAGTTCTTATCGTCATAAGTTAATTGCAACTATACCATTACATATCTTCCGCTTTAAGACCATTGTTCGCATTCTTACTTCTTACATTTGTATTAATGTTTAAACTTACGTTGAAACATGGATCGTTCTTGCCTTTAGATTTCATCTCTTTGAGAAAAGCGTCAATGAAATCTCGAGTATCATTTTCGTCGAATTTTGATTCGTGTTCCTCAATGATAGTGCGAAAAATTTCTAACAAAAATGAAAGAACTTAGAAATTGAGGTTGATGAATTGTCACAACGGTAGTTATATTGAAAGATTTACACGATGACTAAAAAAACAGAACCTATACATGCCTTAATTACTTTTACGAAAAAGAACAAAAATTAAATGTTAATTGAATTTCCTTTTGTATACGATTCTACCCAAAAGAACGCTTTGCAAAAAAAGTTTGAAGATCTTCAGAATATGATCCAAATAACCTGGATTATGCTTTAGTTTTTATAACTTCATTTATTCTCTGGAGTCAACCTGAACTTGCATGTAACGAATTTCAAAATAACTTTGAATCGAGTCACAATTTGCAGTTAAGAAATTTGGAGGCGCGGAGGTATTCGTTGACAGAAAAAAATTATCATGAAAATTCCAGTTTTATTTTCACTTATAGCAATTAAAACGTTAAATATACTGTGTTAGCATTTCAAAGGACATACCTCGGGTTTATATCACATTCCCCCTACTCACCTAGGGTGTAATAAATTGGGTAGGCAAGCCAAATCGGAAAAAGTTTGATTCTCCCAAATGGATTAGCTCCTTACGTATCGTGAAATATCAGTGCCTCATTGTACATGGCGATGTTTCAAGCAAATGGCGAGAATAGAGATCGTAAAACAGTTTTCAAAATTTAAATATATAGAGAATGACTCTTTGTGATAGATACCGTTTGTAGAGTACTCCCGAAGTATGTAAACCAAGATGGCATACAACGGAACGTAGTATATGTACCGGGTTAGGGTTAGGTCATAATTTTATCTCAATTTTCCTTATTTTAGTTCTATTACGAGTTCTGGGACTAGCCAAGTGACACCCGTAGAATTTGTACCTGAAATTATGGCCTCACCATAACCTGGTACACATACCACGTTCCGGTGTCCACCATCTTGGTTCACAAATTTCGGAAGCACCGTTTGTAGAACTAACTTAGACTAATTACTTGAATGGAATTTAAAATAACCATAGGAAGCACCGTTTGTAGGACATGGAACTCAAAGACTAATTACTTGAATGGAATTTTAAATAACCATACCGATAAAATCATCAATTTCTTTCTGAGCACGTTTCATTGATCCGCTAAATGGTGGAACAAATCTAACGATAGGAGCAGCCGCTATCAGACCCAACATCTTTGCATCAGCGTTGTCAGCAAAGCTGGGAATGAAAATTAAAATTATAATGCCATAATTTTATCGATTAAATGAAAAAGAAATAATTATTAAAGGTATTTAAACTAAAAACTTAGAATTCACCAACAAGACTGAAGACATTGACTCGGCTAGAATCGAACTCGAGGCCCATTTTGTGACTCCAGTCATTTGAGCAAAACGACTCAACTCGAACTCGACGTTTAATTTCAAACGCCAAATCCGAATAACACGGGCATCAACACATGCCTATCTATATGGGAATAGCCTATTATTCTGTCAAATTCAAGATTCTAAATCAAAAATTATATGCTAGCTCATTGGTTCTCAACATTTCTCGTTAAATTTCTTTCTTCGCCTATTTTTTGTTACATTCAATTCCTTACTATATATAAAAAGTACTTTTCCTATTGAGAATATTAGAAATACTACATCATATAAAAAGTAATATTTACTGTTTGAAGGAAATTTCCGGTGGGGAAAGGTGGTAAACTTCTATAATAAATATTAAAATAAACTCACAAACTTCTTAAGATCTCAATCAGCCGTAGGAACCTCTTGTCAGTATATTCAAATCTCGTCCCAACGGTTATTCGACAGATGATGTTAGATATTCCCAACGTAAGTTTCAACTGTATAATATAATATAGGATTTTATATAATAAAGAATTTTTTATTTATGCTAAATACGAGAGAAAATTAAATGCCGACTAAGCATACATTGCAATAATCCATAAAGAATATCTTCAGCGATTACAATCACAATTGGAAACGTTTGTTATCGACCTGATATCAGAAACAAAATGTATTGAATTGCAGATACAGACTAGAAAAGCAGAAAATTTAAAGTTCAGAACATGTTTTAACTCTCAAACGCGGCACGAGCTTGGATTTCGAGGTAAAACACTTTCTGAAGTGCACGGGGGACATTTTAAGCATGTATGAGTGGATAACAACATAAAAAAAAACTTGGCAAAAGTTATTCTTCGTTTGACAAATGTTCTGGTTTTCTGTGGACACTGTATTTTAAAGCTTCTAAAAAGTCAGATAAAAACATTTTTATACGACATGTTATACTTCTCCAACACCGGACAAAATTCTGTACATTGGGCCACTGTTTTTTATGAAAAGGTTATGGGGCATGAGATTTGAATTGGAGATATTCGTAACTTTGCACTGAGACGAATCTTTTTCGTAGTGAGTGCGCGTACGGTGCTAGCAAATTCACAGACAAGTTAATCTCATAAGCTATTTCTTAAGCTTCTTCTGGCGCTACGAATCCATTTTCGTACGTCGAAGTTTGTCAAATGGCATTCCGGCTTACGTGATCATCATACGGAACCCGACGTAAGAAAATGGGTCAACTATTCTATCAGTGCGGGTCATGTATCGGCCATTTATATGCAATGGAGGAAACTTTCCCGGATTGACAATTAATATGCAATTAAATAATATAGAGCTAATGTGACGGCCATGAGATTTAAACCCAATATTTGTAATCTGCGGTGTTAACATAGTTAAATACAAGGATTTAACAACGAATTAACGCGCCCACAAAATCTGGACCCTTAGATTGAAAATAAAATAATAAAAAAAAAAACAGTTTCTATCAATTCTAAAAAATAATTTCAGTAGAAAGCTTTCTGAATTATTTGAGTCGGCGGCAAAAAGTGAGCTTTCAGTTTACAATTAATAAACAGTTCATTTCAATAAGAAAATATACATACATGTAAAGACTGCTTGTCCGTCGATGTCAAATTTTCGATCAGAAGTGGAGTTTCCTCGATGACATTTTCTTCCATTCCTTTCTTACCAACGCCAAATCTAAACAAAAAAACGCGAGTGAATTTTTGATATTAAATAAAATTTATACATATGGGGGTGCGGTCTTGCATTGAGTTTGCGGTTTTATTTGCAATCTTGTGGACATTTCGTATGCCAATGAAGGCAAAGAAGTCGGGTTCGGGAGTCGGAGATTTGCTTGTTTTTTTCTGAAGTCGTAGCCGTATTAATCAACTCTCCGAAGTCCAGACGTACAATGGCGACAGATGACGTCAAAATTTTGTACAAAATCTCAAACGCATTAAGTATACAAAACGTCCCAAGCAATTCATTCATTGAAAAATCCTCACACACGCCAATAATTATCTCACAAGCGTTTAGAAGTTCTTTGAAAATATAAGAATACTTGACTGCAAACAAAAAAACTGTAATTACCCTCGTAATGTCATTAGGCCGAATTTTCTCAGAGTTTTCCATGTTTGTCCATAATCAACAACAGCGACGCCTCGGCCTTTTGCAACTAGATCAAATAGAAAGTTGCTTGGCCGGCCAGAAAACTTTTCTCCTTGTTTTACTAACGCCTTGAAGTAAGAAATGCTCAATGAAAAAATATATCGTTCAGCAATCATTACTAATAACATACAGTATGTTAAATTAATTGAAGCACACAGATAAAAATTCCATTTCTGATTATAAACTCTCTAATCGAAGCTGTCTACCAATTTGTCGAACTCTTATTATTTTTTCAGAAGCGAGTAGGTTGGTTTCCATTTTGAATCTCAATTTTTGGTTAATTTACTCGAAGCAAGATCACGCATGGCCACGGACGGGCGGTAACGATTGGTCACTGAAGTGCCAGAAGCTAGAAAACTTCATATATATGGTGATAAATAACTTCAGGTCCTACATCTTCGAAAATAAAGTATTTCATATGATTTCATGTTTACGAGTTTCCCCGCTGTCTCCTGCTTTGAACCGTAGCCTATTCGAGGTTTTAAAAAGTGATTTTTTGTCCTGTGTGCTTGCCTTGTGTAATTTTTATACTATGTTAGAAACCAAATTATTAATATGTAATACTGAGACACTTCTTGGCTAAAATGGCAAAATTTTCTGAATATGCGTAACTTTCTAAAGCTGTTGCATGTATAGCGATATGATGAGCCATATATGATACCATTGTACACAATGAGAACTTGAATAATATTTCTAACTGCGAAAGCAACCAGGCCAAAGCTTTTCTTACCTCGTTTATGGTGTCGTAGTCATTCAAAATCACCCAATCTTCACGTCCCATTTGCACAGACATAACAGAGCCATATTTTTTCTTCATTTCCATGAAATCATCTGCCATGTTGTTGTTGAAAAACGGAGCGTAACCAACTAAAGGAAGTCCGTGTGGGCCTGGTGGAAAGTTCTTCGGTCTCTTGAAAAAATACCAGCATAAAGCAATCACAGCTACGCCAAATATAGCTGTTGTGCAGTCACAGCAATCAGTCCACGACATGTCTATTTCCTGATATCAACGGTGTTGTATATAAATTGTTTCGCTTATGTGTATCTAATCAATACAAATGAAGACAAATTAATGTTTTCTCCATTACAATGGATACCTTTCATTTTTTACACAAGGTTTTTATTTTACTACTCCTAACAATGCTCTGTGAAATCGGCTACTGCTAAGTGCGGTGATACAATTTTCACCACGATTACAAAATTCACTTAAATTAGAGATACACAAATTCCACAATCACTCTATCCACGAATTCATCTCAAAATATAACTCGGACCATCAGCTGCTAAGTAAAGTTTGATACGATACGAATTTGCTCGAGTTTTTCTCAAGCTGCGCAGAGCATATCGCCGTCATAAACAAATAAGAAATACTCGAGATGTTGTTATTCGTACTGGCGTTCGTGCGGTCACTCACCCATATTTATAACGATACCGGTAAAGGCAGAGCTCAAAATGATATCACGAGACGAGAGACGTTGCAGTATTTTACGCGTCGGGCAGTGACGTATTATCGATGTAATATTTGTCGCCGGCATATTTAACTATGTGGAGTTTATGACGCGTTGATTATAATGACGTAACGCTATTACGTCTATATTAAGATTATTTTTCGGTTACACTTAGTTATAGTATTTTGTGAATATTGTTGTCTAGCTATAAGCGGCTAAAGTCCGAATGCATATTTAAATTTAGTCGTCAATAGTGATGTCACGCTATTTTGATTGATGCAATATTCGGAGGGTAATAATATCAAAATGAATAAAATGATATATTACATTATATTCGCTTTTATTAGGATGAATTTGACCAAGTAATAGGACAATAAAATGTAAATTAATGAATGAACCATCCAGCATATTTCGAGTAGATGGTTCATTCATTCATTTATTATTATGAATTATTAACATATTTCAACGCAATTTAAGATCAAAATTCAGCATAACTTTTATCTTATTTTAATTTAAAATTGGTCCTCACCAAACTAAGCATTGATTTACGTTTAAATGTTGATTTACCTCTTCATTGTTCTCTAAGTGCTCTTAAATTTTAATTACATTTAGTTAAGCATCATTTTCGTAAATGCAATAATAATTTTTCGAATCACATCTAAATGAGCCTCACTGATATTTGTGGTTCTAATTTTTCCATCATTACTTCTACGGCTTAATGCAAATTAAATGTTTATGCATTGTTACGTCATACTTGATTTGAGATTTCAAATTTATTTATCAAATTTATTTCATGCCATTGTTGTAAACTGCTTGTCTGAGGAAGTCTGACTCTGGTCGGACGGAACGTTTCAGAAATAAATTTGTGTTAGTGTGCAGCTGGACTCTTTAATTGGATAGATTATAAGATTTGACATTTAGTCTTATATCCAATTACATCTAGAACTTTCTTACCTATCTTTTGTACGACACAAAAAAATACTAATAGATTCGTACATTACATTCGTACAATATTCGTACATTAACTTATATTAACAGGTAACACAAAACACAGGTTTTTTGGTTGATAAGGCCCAAGACGTTGTACCTCTAATATTTGTTTCAGCGGCAGCTGCGAAAACGGAGTGCGAAGTAGTGCATCAACCTTATTCATTATGAGGTCTAAGGCTAAGAAATGCGAAGCCGGAAAGAAGTGAGGAGCTCAAAAGGACTGTGGAAAATCGAAAGCAAATGGACTAAACGTCTCCAACTGATTCAAATAGCGAAACAAGCGAAAAAAACGAAGGCGAGGAAACAATCAACTCTTCAAGCAACCAACGAACGAGAAGGAATGCGTGAATATGTCAACACGTTGTTGTAAGAAACGTCGGCATTGTGTCGTCATAATTTCGGGGCTAGCCCCGATTGGCCCCGATGATTTAGTAAAAGAAACAGAAAACAAACGAGACAAACGCGGCGAGGGGAATGTAAAAGAGAGAATACGATATACAATGAGCAACCGGGGCAAAATCGGCGTCGCCCCGTCGACGTTCGGCGAAGGCTTTGCGAGCGAAAAATGAACCATGTCGGGAGAATATGGCTAGTGTAGACAGTCTGTGCAACTGATATTGAGGTATTTTTCGAATATTTTTTATTATACCGAAAAAACAACCGGGGCATTGCCCCGGTTGGCCTTATTGACGCGCCGCCACTGGTATTTGTACCAATAACCGTCAATGCTCCACCAGGACACCATCATATGTTAATTTCCCCTTTGTTATGGCCAAAAGATTAATTATTCTATAGTTTATATTCCACTAAACACTTTTGTAATTAAAATCTTGAATGCGACAACTTGTTCAACAACCTGATCTAAAAAACTGAGTATCTGTTCTCTGAAGTGTTTTCACGTCGAACAGAAAAGATTTAAACATTTAAAATAATGCCAACTTTTTACATATTAGTCTTATCATCCAAGTGAAACGCGCTGTGGTCATCGAATAATACACAAGGCTACGAGTACCTGAGCTATCCCATCTGGAAGAAATATAAATCATTCCTGTTTTGAATTGCTTGCCCATTTTATTAAACCATGACATGAAATGCTATGTTTTGATTGTTATTTTAATAGGAATTTGATTGATTTTAAAATAGGAAATATGACTTGCACTTGTTCTCAAACCCAATTAGCCTATAAATATGCGCACAATATTTCAACTGTTTTTCCAAATTATTATTGTTTTTGAGAAATAAATTCATAACTAGGTCACGTTATTTATATGCTTTTTGCCCCACATATATAGAAGCTGAATTTTTTCATTTATAAACAAAAAACACTTTATCGTCGTTCAAAAACAACATCGAACTGAGGTGGCTCGTATGTGATAATAAATTTTACATCGCCATCGAATGAAGGAAGGGGCTTGACAGGATCTGGCAACACTTTCAACTTTTGTATAATTCCCGTTAGAAATACAAATAGCGCCATTCTTGCAAGTGGTTCTCCCATACAACGTCGAAGGCCGATCGAAAACGGAATCACGTGATTTGATTTGCAGAATTTTCCGTCGCGGTCGAGAAATCTCTCAGGACGAAACTCTCTCGGATTTTCAAAGTATTTGGGGTCGTTATGAACTGCCCAGATGTTCGGAACAATCTGAAATACAGAAACATATTTTAAACGCTCGATGGGTTTCGATTTTGCTTATCTTTTTCAATTTTGAAAGCGAGCGACTGACTGCAGTGTGTAATTATCTATTTTGTCGTTAGAAGTTGACGAAAGATTCCAGGCCCGCTAAAAGTGTTTTCAATTGGATCAAACAATACAGTAAAAAGTAGTAGCCCCGATAATAATTATGCTCTAGAACAGGGGTGGGTCACTGACGTAAAATTTTATATTTTAGGAATAATATCTTCAGTGTTGCAAAAACAAAAGTGGAAAGCAATAAGCCTCGTGCAAAAACGAAATTTAATCATGATTTTAACAAATTTCTCGAACTAATATTTATCTAAAACAACAAAATTTGGTTTTACATCCTACATCCTAAATACATCTTACTGTATAAACAAACAATGAAGAATAACGTGTAAAATACATTATTATGTATTATTATTTGGTGGTTTAGTTTTGTATTTGTTGAGCATTCTAATCATCTTAAAATATTGATCAATTCATGGTAAATACGTACCGTTGTATTTATCGGGATAGTGTAGCCATTGATACTCGCTTCTTCGTTGTTCATATGGAATATACTTAAAGGCGCCAAAATTTTATGTCTAATTAGTTCCTGTATAAAGGCACAGGTGTAAGGCATTTTATCTCTATGATCCATTGAGGGAACACCGTCCTCACCTGTTAGAAGACGAAAAAATGGGAATGTTTAAATTTCACCTATTGATTGATATTGATATTGTTTGTACGGAAAAACGTGACGGACTCTATGACGTTGCGCGCTCATTCGTTTACTGCACAGTGCACCCGAATAAGTGCGCTTGATAATGCTTCAGGAAAACTTCTAATTAAAAAAATAAATGAAAAAGACTAAAGTAATTTTGTTTTCGGAGTTTCTACAACAAACATCCATAATATAACATCACGGCAATTTAACTTCTTCCTGTGTGCTTTAGATCTCTTTTTATTCATGACATAAACTATCGACTATTATAAAAGCTTAGTTAATCTAGAGACTGTATCACTAAGTAACATTATCAACAATATCAAATTACCCAAGGTTCCGAATACTTCGTCTGCTATTTTTTCTTGGCATTTTGGGTAGCAGACCAGAGCGAGCAAAGCCCAAATCAACGTAACGCTGGTTGTAACTGATCCCGCATGGAGAAGGTCACGAACGTATCTAATGAGTTGATATTTCTTGCATGAAAAATAAAAATATAAATAAAAACTTGTTATTGCCGTTTTAGCTGACTAGAATGAATTATATAATTCATACAAAACAGGGTTGTGGGAGTTGGAGCAATAAATTTTTTTACGTTGAAAGCATCATCATCTTTTCCTCGTTTCTTCATTTCATTCAGAAAAGCATCAATAAAGTCCCGGATGTGTGAATCCTCAAAGTTACATTCGTGTTCTTCTACAAAATCACGTAGATAGGCTAAAAATAGAATACTATTTTTCTTTGCTGTATTTACTTGTAGGTTCAATAAATAAGTATATTGTAAATAATAACAAGAGAACGATGCTCAAATATAGGGACACGCAATAGTAAGGGTATACAGTCTGTCACAGTAGCCAACCGGTACCCATTAATCACGACTTCGTCGGACCATAAGACCTCTGATGCGAAGGCGAAGCCGTCACAGGAAGCGAAATACTTGATTTTGTTTACGTCATCGAACACAAAAAAAACGATGAAAATGCGTCTTTGCTAACAAGAACTGACAGAAAACTGTATTATATTTGTAATTGGTATTATATTTGCATAACGCAATTCCGATAAATTAACGTCCAGTGAAAAACATTTCAACATAGTTTTGTACAACAATTTACTCACTATGTTCTACTTTATGAAATATGAAATGTTCAAATATATATTTGCGTTGGGTTGCGCGAGACTAACTCCCTTTCCTTCCTCTATGCCTTTATGCTATTGTATCTGTATGAGTATACTGCAAGGATGCTGTAGCATTTATTAATATGACTATTCTATCCAATTCAAGAGTCCTGCTGCACACTAACACAAATGTATTTCTGTAACGTTCCGTCTGCCCAAAGTCAGACTTCCTCAGACAAAAGTTCACAATAAACGGACAAAACGTTACGGAAATACATTTGTGTTAGTGTGCAGCAGGACTCTTGAAAAGGTTCAAATATATGTTTCAATTCAAACTAGAAATATTTAACACATACATTTCATAACAGTGTGAACTTGAAAAATATCAAAAAATCTTACCCATAAGACACTCTGTTTCGTCAGATGTAATTTTCACAAATTTGCTGAACGGAGGGATAAAACGTAAAAAGGGGGCGATGTAAACAGCAAATAACATATGTGAATGGGAAGTGACTTGAGACCTTTAAATAAAAAAAAATGAAACAGCCACTAAATGAGATAGAATTTGTGAGTCAGTGCCTCGCTTTACATCAAGACTAATTCATCGAAGATCGGGATTTATTAAATGTTTTACATCGGATTCGGTCCGCACTCGTGATTATTCTAATGCAATGGTTTGATTAATGTCAGTAATCTAATGGCAAGCTTTTTTTTTAAACATACATACGTAAATAGTTTCAAACTAAAATATAAATTTGTGCCCAGCCAAATATTTTTTCTCCAGTATTTTAAACTCCCAGATTAGAGGTTACGGTTTTGTTCTATTATTAAGCGGTCATCCATTGACAAAAATTCAAAGGAATTCAGGGAACAATAATCGTGGTAACAATGCAAAACTGGTGAGACTTTGAATACATCAAAATGCGGTATCATACTTTAATGTAGAAACAAACAGTTTCTGGACAGTCTTTGGTGAAAATTTTTTTTTTTTGGAATATTTTGTCTTCAAGTTTCAAGTCGTTTGGCAAGGGCGTACCCAGAGGGGTAGTTTGCCGGTCGGACCCCCCCCCCCCCCCCCCGTCCTTTGGAATGTAAAAAAAGCATTTTTCCGTATGAGAAATTTTCCATATAGCTTGAAACGCAATTCAGGACCTAATTACATCTGAAAACACACGTTTCCCGGTATTGCTATCTTTTACGATCTAACTTGGAAATTAGAAATCTTTGAAACCTTATGAAATTCCTGGATTTGCCAATCTTATTTGGTAGTTACAAACGTTTGGTTACCCATTAAAATTACATATAGTTTTGTCCATAGACGGCCTACTAGATGGCACAGATTTCATTTCTTATAAAAATTAATTTGATTACGTATGAGCTACCCTTGGCTTGTCAAATTTTACATTAAAATAATTTAAATATATACAACTTACCTTTTTTTATTATTTAAAATTAGTTACCAGCATTGGCCATGGAATTGTCATTTTACTGGAAAGTCCGATGGGGTAAGAGGGAACAGGCATAACTTGCTATTGAAATCGGATGGGACGAAAAAATATGTCTCATGGACAAGACTATAAATTCGTTACATTGATTTCTTATGCACGTGGTAATGCTTTGATGAAATAAGAATGAAAAAATATACAACCCTACCTGAAGACAGTAAGCAAGAAAGAGCATATATTAAGATATAAACTTACTGTTTCATAAACATCTTGACAATATTCCTCAATTTGTTTTCGTGATAATCGAACCTGGAACCCAATACTATCCGACAAACCATATTGGATAACGCGAGATTCAATTTCATCTAAAGAAACAATGTAACAATGCTCAAATACTAGGAAATCAGAGGCGTTGCATCGGTTCCAGTATAATAAAATTTTAGCGGCAGTAGGGCAAAGAGTTTTCCGAAATGAACACCCGAAAAATGTTCATATATTATATAAGAAAGTATTGTCATGAATTAAAATAAACATCAAAGTTTTGAGTAAAATATGGGAATTCATGGGTCTCAGGAAAATTGTTATAACCCAACAACAACAATACGACAACAACAACAACAACAACAATCTATTGATCCACTTTGCGTCCAATTGTTGTCAAGGTTACAAAATACGACTATACAAATATACGGCAAGTATTAAAAATTTTTACACGAATGCTCTCTCCGTTGCTCGATGTCAAACTCTCAATCAAGAATCTCGATTCTTCAACAGCACTTGTTTCCATTTCTTTCTTGCCCATACCCATACTAAAAAAATGAAAAATTCAGAAGAAAAAACTACCAAATTAGTTAATACTAAACAAATAAAACAAGTGTTTCATAATGACACAAAACTGCTTATGATTTCACAATTATTCTTATGTGTAAGATGCTATATGTATATAGCACTCGACCAGTGATCAGCCGAAGCTTTAACTTATCGTTTAGCATTTTAAATCGTTTCACTCATTTGGAGCTCATTGCTTATATAAAGAAAAGTGTTTTTTAAATCATCCAGTTCTTATTTCATGAGCGCCTATTACATGAAAACCTCGTCACCCAGGGTGTATTAATTTGCGTAGACGAGTGATCGGCAACCTTTTTGAAGTGACGGACCGGTAAAGCCTGACCAAAATTGTGGCGGACCACCTCCATACAAACGGACTAAGCCTATGCAATGAATGATACGCATTAGGAAATTTATGTTGAAAACATACTAAAAAACGAAATTGATGCTATTTAATGCGATCTCTCTATTTGTTTGCTGGCCATTAACTGTTCCCATATTGGAGCTATGGTCTACCTTGACACACGTAACGTGTTTATTGCATCCAGACTACTTCGATATGTAGTTATCAATATTGGAAACCAGGCCTCACGTTAATAAGATTTCAGGAAAGGTAACAATGCCTGTGAACCTTCTGACTCTATAGTATTCGTATTGATTAATGTTTTTTTTGCCAAAATTATTTTTTTTCCCGATGTGCTAGCTTTATAATTATCCGGATTCTGAAGTATAGAATTAGCACGGACTAGGCGTGACCGGTTAGCTATGAGCAAGTAGCTCGTAGTAGTTACGTTCTTAGCGAGAAATATTTTGTTGGAGATATCTTATACCAGTGGTTCTTAAACAGTGGGGCGCGCCCCACAAGGGAGGCGTAGACCATTATTTGAGGGGGCGTGAAGCTATTTAGAAATGAAAAAAAAAATTGTTAGATTCCATCTTGTCCGCCTCATTTCGGATATCTACATTTCTTTATATTGGATGTTTACGTTCCATTCACGTATTTTCAACGTGATTTTTGAATAAAACATACTTTCGTCTTACTATTTCTTATTTGTAGCTTATTGTCAGCTAGTTATTATTTGAGGTGGGGCGCGGGACTCGACAAATTAATAAAAAAAGGGCGCGGATTGAAAAGTTTGAGAACCACTGTCTTATACGGACTGATGAGAAACATTCTTATACGGGCGTAGTGGAAACAATTGACCCAGCATTATTACGACATACTGACATTTCAATTGTTTGTGAAGTCAGACATGCTGCTCAAATGCGTTGTGTTTGTCTGGTTTGCTGCTGGGTGCTGATTTTTAGTCGTATGTTTGTGGTTAGATTGTAGAGATTTTATTACGGCCGTGAACTTTTCTGTGTCACCTTTATGCGGACAGGCAGTAACCTTTCCGCGGACCGGCGATGGGCGCGGCCCGGTGGTTGCCGACCACTGGCGCAGACGAAATCAATTGTGAAAGATCCTAGTCTTAATATAGTAAGTAGATCCTTATTTAGTAGCGGATTATTGGGCAAAGCCATCTTTCAAAGCCATGGGTATAAAAGTATCAAATTAAGATAATACAATTTTAAATATATTTTATAAAAACTGAATACTTGTTTTCGGCATAGAAATTTGATATAAAATATTACTCTTTTAATGTGGCATGGCCAAATTTGGTTAAAGCTTTCCATGTTGATCCATAATCCATTGTCAAGAACCCGCGGCCTTTGGTTATCAGCTCGAAATAAAGATTGTATGGCCGCCCGGAAAACGTTTGTCCTTGTTTTACAAATGCCTGAAGAATACATGTAATTATTTAGTGAATATGATTTGCCTAAATGTGCGTGTGTGGTAGGCTAGATTTTTCTCTCTCCAAACTATTTACCTAACAATTGCTGTACAAAGTCTTGATTGATGTAAAATTCGTATAAATACGCATCATAAAAAAAAAAAAGATATGTTTGCATTAATATTCATTTTGAGATAATTGGCAATGTTGTTATTGACATGAACCTCATGACGTCCTTATTTTAAAAATCCAAAATTAGAATTGCCTAGAAAAATACAAATCAACTACGGCTACGACGCTATATTTCATCTTTTATTGAATAATACTACATTGAAAACATTTCGAACGAACCTCGTTAATGGTGTCATAATCATTAAGAATAACCCAATCTTGTTGTCCAAATTGAACAGAGACAACTGATCCGTATTTCTTTTTCAATTTCATAAAAGTTTCTGCGGGGTTCCTTGAAATGAACGGAATGTAACCGACGAGCGGCAGACCTCGAGGACCAGGAGGAAAGCTTTTGGGTTTTCTTTGCAAATAAAACCAAAATATCAAGACTGTCAGGCCAGCTAAAACATTTATATATTCATATATTTCAATCCACATCTTGTCCTACTACTTTTCAGTAATATACTTTTGTTATTATAATAATTGAATTCTGCAAAAATTATAAGGTGGGATATTTATAATAGTATAACTGAAAGACAGATAGTAGAAAATTTTTAGCGAAACAATAAATATTTTTCTAGCTATCTAAAATCTAATATCAGTGGCTTGTTTGCTAAAATATAAGTAGTTCTGTGACCGTCCTACAATTCACAAAAGTATTGACTCATTAAATATATATCTACTTTCCCTTTCACTTGGTCAAACTTTTACATAACTCTTAGATTGTCTTTAATCAATACTAGATCTCCTATTTATATGAATACCTTTTCCAAAATACTAAAGTTGCAAATTTTAAGATACTATACATGGAATATAGTCCGTTCGTCACGGACAGGATATCTTAAAGTCAAAATTCGTCCGGGTTTTTCAAAATATTCAGAGTCGAGACGAACTGCCGAATAATTCGGGCAAACCTAAAATAAAATGTAAGTATAATACTTGAATTCATCTTTCTTGAGCTGCAATGAATACTCATGGTGTATGATCTCGTAATCTCACAATAAATTTCGTACTCGTTTGTCAGATTGTCATTTGGACGACGTACAGCGTGGCAACAAGATTGTCATTTAATTTCAACTCCTTGGTCATGGTACAGAAAAACCATCAAGTAAATAAAAACAATGTATTGTTCGGAAAGGGAAACATAAACGTCTCATCGTAACACAGCAATAAAAAGTGCGGGTGCGGATAATTTTAAGTTAATGTGGCGATTGTTCGCAGGCAGAAATTATTGCGCCCGTACGCTACAGGAAATGTGTATA